GGCACATAACAACAACATTATCACAACAGTGTTACCAGAATCTGTAAGAGTTTATTAAACATTTATACTCATGAAACACAGATGGTGCATCTACTATGTGATAACAAATTTTTTGTGGGAATTAATAATTCACATCACTGTATCATGAAATGTTGTTGTTGTTTTGTGCTGTTGAGTCGGGCCTGACTCATAGCAACCCCTTCTTGGGTTTCTGAGGCAGTATCACTATGGAAGTAGATTGCCCAGCCTTCCTTCTGAGGAGTGGCTGGTGGGTTTGAACCATCAGCCTTCTGGTTAGCAGTCAAGTGCCTTAGGTACTACGCTACCTGAGCTCCTGTATCATGAAATATGAACAATAAAAATTATGTATTTGTTTGTCATGAAAATAACCTGTTTCCACCATTCTTCCTTCTAGCTCTGCCATCTATTTTATTTGATTATGGCAGCCCTTTCTCAGACATACTTGGAGACCCAGAATGTCTAGGCCTCTAGTTTATAGGATACAAAATGAGCATAGTAGAAAACAGAATGCAACAAGAACACTGATGCAGGCCCCTGATGAGGCATTACTCATGAAAACTCACTGCTGTTGAGTCAAATCCAACTCATAGCAACCCCTCCTTGGGTTTCTGAGGCATTTATCTCTATGGAAGTATATTGCCCAGTCTGCCTTCCAAGGAGTGGCTAGTGGGTTTGAACCTCCAACCTTCTAGTTAGCAGTCAAATGCCTTAGGTACTAATTAGGCAATAATAACGTTCATTGTTGAGGTTTTAGTCATTCCTGAAGTCAGACCCTTTCAGTATGAACTCACTGGGTAATAGGGGTTAGAGAATTTCCAGATCTTAGAGCACTTCCCTGTTTCGAGCTCTCTTTCACTTCTCCTATGGTCAGGAAGACTCTGCTCTGAAACACACTTAGACTTTCCATTGCGAAAATATAAAAAGATGACATGTTACACTGTATTCAGACAGAAGGAAAAGAAAAAAAACAAAAACAAAAATATCTGTTCACTTAAGAGAACACAGCAAAATAATACTTCATCAATCTACAGTGTTAAGGATACATAGAATGTTCTCATTCCTGTCCAACTATAGGGGTGGAAAGAGAAGGCAAGGAAATGAGGGTCTGTCTCTAAGTCCTTGCCACACTTAGAGATCACTGTGATGGTAATATGCTGTGCTATTACTACATATAATGTAAAACTCCTTCTCTGCCCAATAGGCAACTTGGCTCTGGAAATACCACATGAATTAAGAGGATCCTGCCCATTCTGTAGTTTTATTCAGAAAACATGGGCCAATGAGATAAAGGATTGCACTCCTGGCACTGTCTGAGTTTCCATTAGCCCCTCCTTTTGACTAGTTATTTGGCAGTGGCCACAGATGTTCCAAGAGAAAATGGCAACCTGGGCCCTTATGATCCTTGACTCTAGGAAGCAAATGTAGGAGGGAGTAAGAGTGGAAGAGAACCCCACTGCCTTCGAGGGGATTCTTACTTATAGTGACCCTTTAGAATAGAGTAGAACTATAGGGCTTCTGAGGCTGTAAGTCTTTATGGAAACAGATTGCTCCATCTTTCTCCTGCAAAGCAGCTGGTGGGTTTGAACCACCAAACTTCTGGTTAGCAGCCCAATGCTTTTACCACAGCACCACCGAAACACCCTGCTGATACTAAAAGGACATATAAAAGTTTCATATACATATTATCCTTTCCACTGTCTTACCATAAAATTCCAGAGTATGCAAATTCAAATTGACTACTGCTCTAATTCCTTACTTAAAATTGTTTACACTAAAGTGTCCTCTCTGGTATCTTTTCCCTTAATGTGTACTGATTTTTTTTTTGTCCTGGATAAATGTCAATGTGCATGCATGTGTGCACATGCATGTTTATTTAAACAGATGAGCAGGTGGAAAAAAGATAAAAAGACCACAGGAATTTTAGCTTCTCCTTTAATATGCCTGTAGATTCTTTTTGTTTCCTAAGGGAAAGGTCTCTTCGAGCACTGAAGGGTTCCCTACCCGACTCTTTTGTCAGTTTTTCTTCAAGGCTATAGAAATGGAAAGGAAGAGGAGATAATGAGGGGAGACCATTTGTTCCCAATAGTTCTGTATGTGAGACTTACATGATTACCCTAACCAGAACCATTCTTACTACAGAGTACACTATTTGTCTCTACCCTACCAGGACATATCAATATAATAAGCCTTGCTATGACCTTGGCTATATCCAAAAAATGAGGAAACAAAAGGCAAGAAGTATCTTGCTGTTCCTGATATGGCTCAGTCCTAGAGAAAATTAGACCATTCTCAGATGGACACATTCACTTCTCAAAGGGTTACATCAGCAGATTTGCATCTGACATAAGGAAACTTGATCTGTTTGATCTAGGCTCCCTGTCCCTCTTTGTCCCCTCCTTTCTCCCTTACTTCCTTATTCTCACTCAAGACAGCTTTGGATAAATCTAATCTCCAGGTTATTAAAATCTGAGACTTCCCAGGATTGACTTAACATTCCCAAGAATAGTGGGTGGTAGAATTGAAATCTAATGCTTCACATGATCAGCTCCATGTCATCTCCTAAACAAGCGAATTGTTTACAAAACAGCAATATGACGTGACAAAACTGGAATGACCTAGGAAACGTGTTAAACTAGGCTGTATCCCCCAAAATTTTGCTTCAGTAGATTTGATCAACAGCCAGATTTGCTATGTTTGGGAACTCCGGTTCTAGACTGTTGACTCAAATCAGAACTCATGCTGGACAGAGCCCTGAGCCTTCATTTGATGCAGTCACTTCCATGTTGCCCAGCCAACTTCGATGCTGTGTGCCTGATTTTCAAGGGTAAGACTTGTGCCACTGTGTCATATCTAAGTAGAAGGAAGCCAGGAGTCTCAATAACAATCTGTTATTTTCACAAATGGATCCGTTGAGACCCTTCTTTCTGTCTTTCCGAGACCCAAAAATAGCTGTATAAAGGAATCATCGACATAAGGCCACCAGATACATTAACGTGCACACTTATGTGCCTATATATGCACACACAATCACGTTTCTCATCTCTCAGAACTCTGGACAAAGTCAGCCAAGCCCTGGACCAGGGCTGCCATGAATGACCACTCAGGCTGTATACAGCATGGCACTGGGCACTATTCTCACAGACTGCAAAGTGAATAGCCCCCCTCTGCAGTTGTACAATGCAGTGATCCTTGGAAAAAGTAAGTTATTATATTGAGCACAAGAAGGAGCCCACCACTGAGGAAGCAAACACATTGTCTGGAGGTGAAAATTCAATAGAATTCAACAGGATTATCTTTTTGCTATGCAGCTGGGACACAAGCTCTGCTCTCAGCACATGCACACACACACACACACACATATTTATATATACCCTGCACCCTGGACTTCCCCTTTCTCTGATTTAGGCTGATTTTTAAGAGCTTCCCTTCCATACATCTGTACCAGAGATGGACTGAGAAAATGCCACAACAAATTTGAGGTGGAGAGTTAGCTCATGGTGGGTGATCTGCCCCAACTCAAGGCTCCTCCAGATCCTGGAACTGTTTAATGTCAATCTTGGCAATCTATCTTTATTTCCAAAGCCCTTTTCTTGAAGCCCAGTCCCATGCAATAAAGCACGTTCATTTCATGCAACACAGCTCAGCTGATGCTTTAGCTCAAAACACCCCAGTGTATTATGTATAACTCAGTTGGGGATAACTAGTATGAAGAAACATGCACAGCGCAGCAACAAGGAGTATTCACACTAAACAGAAAGAAGTAAAGGAGGTGCAAAGCTAGAGGAAAAATTAGCTCTCTCCATTTCAGTTCAAGAAAAGTCCCTTGCTACTGCAGTCCACTGGTTTGGGACAGCATTTGACCTCAGCTGTGAAGTGCTGTTATAGTCAAAGGAAGTCAAATTATTTCCCAGGCTTCTCTGGGATCAGGCACTGAAGTCTTCCCTCAGTGGCAGTCCTTTCCTCAACATCAGTTCTAGGCCTTTGCATTGTTGTTGTTGTTGTTATGTGCTGTTGAGTCGGGCCTTTGCATTAGTTTTACTAAATGATGGACCAGTCCTGTGAATTCCTCCAATCTCTTCCACTTTGCAAACTCCAGAACCATTTAACTAATAAGTGAAAACCAAGGGGAGAACTGACTGAGAGCTAAGCCTTCAGACATGCAAAGCATACAGCCCTGGGAAAACAGCAGCATCTGGGACAGGAGGCTCCCATCACTTCACATGAGAATGACATGGGTTTTCCAAATCAAACACATACAGAAAACCAGTGGTGGCCCAGGTTGGACATACTCTATGGAATGTAGTTTAGTGAGGACCTGGACCAGGGAGCCGCCTGTTCCTCTTGCTCACATACATTTATTTCACACCACCTCAGGCCACTCACATTGGCTTACCTGCTCATTGTTGCTCTCCCACCATTCCCCATACTCCCTTTGGGGGTGAAACACTCTATTTCCGACTTGTGCTGGGCCAGTCTCCTGTCTTTGTACCTAGTGAGCATGAACAAGGACAGGAGCAAACAGAAAGACGTGATTGTGTACTTGACTGCCAGGCTGGGGAAGAGCCGTGGCTGCAGAGTGGGGCCAGCCCATGCCAAAACCAGGGGTTCCTGGGATATCTGTTAGATGATAGTGATAGTAGCTTTTAATGCTAGGGATGATTTTAATACTACTTGGTTAAGTCACATTGCCTATTCATTTGTGAATTTATCACATTTAATAATAATGAAAGGAATATAATTCTTAGCATCTAGAAATAGATGAATATCAATAAATTCAATTTATTAAGTAAGTGCTTACCATATGCCAGACACTATACTAGAACTTTACCTAAATTTAATTCTGATAATAGCCTTGTAGCAGAAGGTCTGTTGTTATTATTTCTTTTTTTTTTTTTTTACAGAAGAGGAAACCTAAAATTGCAAAGATTAAATAAGTTGATGAAAGACACACAGTAAGTGGAAGAGCTGGGATTTGAAGTCAGGGGGCCTAAATTTAGAACCTTTCCTTTTAACCATTATATAGTATTGACTTCCATGACCACTTTTATAAAAACTTAGCTGTTATTAACAAATTTTCATTGAGTACTGCTATGCCTGAGATGATAAGAATATCAAAGAAAGAGTGCATGTTCTTTGATGTGGGAGGTTTCCATAACCATTAAGCTGAAGTTTGACAGTCAGTCTTGGACTATCTAAATCAGAAGGGTCCTGGTTTGCAAGAATTGACAATGCCTCACTCCTAGAGGGAACCAAAAGCTTCATCTAAAATAAAGTGTGAGATTCTCAACATTAGTCTGCTATTTGGTAAATCAAGATGAGCCCTTATATTTGCATGAGAGTTTTCAAAGCTAAAGTGCTTTCACAGATTTTTTTTTTTTTAATCAGTTTAAGCAGGTAGGGTAGATAAAGAAGGTGCAGTTATCTACATTTGTCAAATGAGGAAACCAAAACTTAACGGACTCAATCAAATCAGAAGTCAGTAGTCATTAACTGCCAATAGAGCTTTCAGGTAACAATTCATTTTCCTTCTGAAACTGGAACTGGAAATGATACTACTTCTTCCATGTTCAACATGCAAAGATACAATGAGTTACTAAGATATTTAGTAGATTTATTTAGATACATTATTTATAGTTTCTTCTCCTGCTGTCTTAAAACTAATATAAAACAAAATGCAACAAAATGAAAATAATGATGGGTTCTGAGGTGTGGGCCTTTCTCTTATTATTATTGTTTTTCTTCTAAGATGTTTATAATACTTAGTATTTGAGTGAAAGTGGCTCATTATATGAATTTAAATAAATATAATAAATTGATTTGTTCAGTAGATATGAACTGAGAACCTACTAAGTTCTAGTCAATAGGCTTTATATGAAGAGAGAGAGAGAGACAGAGAGAGACAGAGAGAAAGACAGAGAACCAATCCACAGTTCTGGCCTCATAGACTCTAGTTGGATAAGGAAGGAAAGATAGTCTGTACACAAGTAACTTTAGCTCTAGGTCATAAAGAAGAGAGAACAAAAACTCAAAGACATTATCAGAGAAGGCAAAACATCAGAACAAACCAGACTTTTACCAAGAAAACAACTCTTTGAAATGAATCCTTGTGAAGTACCAGTCATCAAATGATACTCTAAATTTTAACAGAAAATATTTTCTTATTACTTGTGATTTGGGTTGCATAATAGGAATACTGCTTCAAAGCTTCTGTTTGATCAATGGAATCATTAATGGTCATTCATTTCTTTACATAGGGGGTCTTAAAGTACTTTAAAATATCTTCTTTTAGACAAATTGCCAGTTAATCATTTAAATTTTTCATAGTTAAGTCAGGATACCTGCACTCTTCATGCTCGTAAGCTCTCTTTCTCTCTCTCTTTCACATACACGCACACACACACAAACACACTCTGCTAGGTGACCCCATTTATGAAATAACTCCTAAACTTCCCATTTTGTCTGAATTTAATTGTTCTTGGAAGGATTTTTCACAAACAAAACTTATTCTGATAAAGCAAGCCATCTTATTTTTTTTTGAGGGAACTAACCAATAGCTCTTATGTTCAAAACAAGGTGAAAATGCCATTTGTACAAATGGAGAAGCTCATCTTTGCTTTCAAATGGGATCCTTCTTGCCCAACTACAACTCTATAATTCCAGCTTAATTATGTTCATCAGATGTTTAAATATACCATATTTTCATCCACATTCACTTATTATTAGGTTTACTCATAATGTGCTATTCAAAGTAACAAATAATGTTTTAATAGTCTCCATTGCAGATGTACAATTCTTTCTCATTATTTTATTTCAGAAACATGAGCTGTCATTTAGGAATAGTTTAAGCTTTTCAGAATTTATAGCCTTTTTAAAAAGTAGTAGTTAAAACAATTTAATTTTTTATATAATACATTATATCTTTTACACACACACACATATGGTATGCATTCTAGTCACTGTTGAAATGCTTTAGAAATATTAACTCATTCTTAAATAAAATGCTTAGTTTACTGCAATACATTCAAAGCTATAATATGACAGAAATAATAGAAACAGAATACAGAGTGCACCAGGATCTTTTCTGTATGTTATTCCCAGTTCTTAAAATGATCCTAAAAAGTAGATGCTCTTATTCTCATTCTGACAAGGTAGATATTGATGATCACAGTGCCTATAAGCCCAAACTCATACCAATTGAGTGGGGACCCCAGATTAAATTCCAAACTGGTATTATTTTCATTAACATTCATTCTAAGGTACAATGTCAGTAGTCTTAGTAACAAAACTATGAATGTTTATTATTTATCTTTTTCTTTTCTTGGCCCTATTTTGCAATGAAGAGTAGAATTAACAATTACATCCAGTGGAGGACATGGTGATAGGACTTTGCATTTTTCCTCCACATTTGGGCCCATGTAGATATACTACAAGGGGATCTGGTGGCAGAGTAGTTAAAGTGCTTGGCTTCTGATCTAAAAGCCAGTGGTGCGAACCCACTAGTTGCTTTATAGGAGAAAGATGTAGCAGTCTGCTTCCGTGAAGATTACAGCCTTGAAAACCTTATGGGGCAGTTCTACTCTGTCCTAAAGGGTCACTATGAGTTGGAACTGACTCGTTGGCAAAAAGTTTAGATGTACTGTATATGTTTAGCTTGTATCATTCAGAACTACTTATTGACTACTCCATGTGCTAGTCATTGTAAGGAGCACATGGGCAATTCAAACACAAATCTATGCCATTGATAAATTTACAGTCTTGAGTGGGAGGATAAATTGTAAATAGATAATTTTGAAACAATGTGAGAAGTTTTATGATAGAAATAAATACAGGATGGGCTGTCAAACTTCAAACAGTATGATGCCTAAGATTAAAGAATGAGTTAGGGGTAAACTGTGCAGAGATGGGTAGGCAAGCAGAAGAATGAAATCAATAGCAAACACATGAACAGACTTCACAGCATGGTATGTATATGGAAACACTGCTCAGTATTTTTATTGAAATAAGTATAAAATAATGGAAGGTAAGATGGGTAATGAAGATAGCAAGGTATGTAAAAGCTAGAACATGTGTGATATTATCTTCTAGGTTATGAGATGCCACCGTGAGATTTTTTAAGACAGGAAAAAAAAAAAAAAAAACACAGTCACAGTTGAAATTTAGACAGAAATTTAGAAAGATAACTGTAGGCTTGAGGGAACAAAACTAGAGATAGAAAGATGCATATTACTACTGCAATAGTCCATGTCAGAGATAATGAGATAATAACAGGGTGGTGATGCTATTGATGAAAGTAGAGTACAGTTTAAAAGTATTTAGGAGGTAAAATGAGTAGGACTTACTGACTAATAAGTGTGTGTGAGAGAAAAGTCTTGAATGCTACCCTAGGCCTGTCTTAGGTGGTGCAATTTACTAAGTTAGAAAAATATGAAGAATGAATATATTTGGGGGAGGGAATAAAAAGCTTCATTTTGTAATATTGGGTTTGAGATACTGCTAGAACATCCAAATGGACATATTCAAGAAAATATGCATATGAAAATCTGGAGGTTAGTGAACTTCGGTGCCATCAGCACACTGATGGTTGATATTGCCATGAGCATGGAGGGATACTGTGTTCACAGACAGCAGATAAACTCTTAGTCAATGGAGAGGAGGGGATTACAGATTTGCTTACTGCACTTGTTCAAGGCTTCTATAACATTGTTAATGAAAGCATTCCCTCAAAATATTTACTGAGTGTCTACCATGTGCCAGACAATGAATTCAGGTTCTTCAATCTGATAGTTCTCTTATGGTGTCTGGACTCCTAGATTTCTTTTCAAAATGGCTTTGACAATTTGGTTTCTAGACCACACCTTTGGCATGGAAAACACTCAGAGTAGTTTTAATATATTTCAGAATAGCTTGTTCCAAAGTAAGCTTTAATTGCCTTTTGAGAAGATTTATTTGTGTTTTTACAAACTTCTTGCTCCTCTTTTGTCGAGAAAGATCCAAGCCTATTTTACTGAGTTCTATAAGGGCTTACCTTCGTCTGGTAAATATAAAAGATGTGGGTCAAGAATCCCTAAGGATTTGGATTTTGTTGTTGTTGTTATTTGCCGTCGAGTCGCCCCCAACTCATAGCGACCCCTCCTTAGGTTTCCGAGGCAGTATCACTACGGAAGTAGGATTGCCCAACCTTCCTTCTGAGGAATGGCTGGTGGGTTTGAACCGCCAGCCTTCTGGTTAGCAGTCAAGTGCCTTAGGCACTATGCTACCAGAGCTCCTTAGGATTTGGATAGTAGGTGTAATTTTTCTATAATAATTTGGATCAAAAACTTCATTATTCATTCATTTTCCTTTTCTTTACTAATATTTACTGAACATTGGATTACTGAAATTTACATTTTGCCTCTGTGGTCCAGAATGGGTAAATGGATACAGAGTGAGGTGAGAGACTAGAATAAAATGAAGAAATGCAGAGAATTAAATTGTATGTTAGGTACAACA